CAAGAAGCTACTAGGGGCTCCTGGCCTTACTACTAGGAACAAGAAACTACCAGGGGCCCCTGGCCTTACTACTAGGAACAAGAAACTACTAGGGGCTCCTGGCCTTACTACTAGGAACAAGAAACTACTAGGGGCTCCTGGCCTTTCTACTAGGAGCAAGAAGCTACTAGGGGCTCCTGGCCTTACTACTAGGAGCAAGAAGCTACTAGGGGCTCCTTGCCTTACTACTAGGAGCAAGAAGCTACTAGGTGGCCCTGGCCTTACTACTAGGAGCAAGAAGCTACTAGGGGCTCCTGGCCTTACTACTAGAAGCAAGAAGCTGCCAGGGGCTCCTGGCCTTACTACTAGGAGCAAGAAGCTACTAGGGGCTCCTGGCCTTAGTACTAGGAACAAGAAGCTACTAGTGGCTCCTGGCCTTTCTACTAGGAGCAAGAAGCTACTAGGGGCTCCTGGCCTTACTACCAGGAGCAAGAAGATACTAGGGGCTCCTGGCCTTACTACTAGGAACAAGAAACTACCAGGGCCTTACTACTAGGAACAAGAAACTACTAGGGGCTCCTGGCCTTACTACTGGGAGCAAGAAGCTACTAGGGGCTCCTGGCCTTACTACTAGGAGCAAGAAGCTACCAGGGGCCCCCGGCCTTTACTAGGAACAAGAAACTACCTGGCCTTACTACTAGGAACAAGAAGCTACTAGGGGCTCCTGGCCTTACTACTAGGAACAAGAAGCTACTAGGGGCTCCTGGCCTTACTACTAGGAACAAGAAGCTACTAGGGGCTCCTGGCCTTACTACTAGGAACAAGAAATTACTAGGGGCTTCTGGCCTTACTACTAGGATCCTGGCCTTACTACTAGGAACAAGAAGCTACTAGGGGCTCCTGGCCTTACTACTAGGAACAAGAAATTACTAGGGGCTTCTGGCCTTACTACTAGGAACAAGAAGCTACTAGGGGCTCCTGGCCTTACTACTAGTTCCTAGAAACTACTAGGGGCTCCTGGCCTTACTACTAGGAGCAAGAAGCTA